GAGGCTATCAATCTGAACCCCAAGACTCTGAGCTCCAAAAACTAGGCTCTTTTCGTCCCCCATAAGAGGAAGCCAACGTGATAGATAAGTGTGGGGCACGTCAAGGACCCCAAACTGAATTTCCTTAAAGTATCTCAGTAAGTTCAGAAAATAGGTGGGTGAGGGAGTTGGGCTGTGCAGGAGTGTTCCCTGCCAGTGGGCACTCAGTGCCCAGGAGCCCTGCCACAAGGTTGTGTCCTGCTCACTCCAAGGAAGGTGTGTCTTTGTCCTATGCTGAGGACAGTGTCTGACATGGAGGAGGCACCCGGGCCGTTGTGCCAGGACACAGTTCCTTCGACTGCCAGTGCCACACCTGGCCTGGTCTTACAGAGCCAGGCCCTCCATTCCTCCTGCTGACCTCAGCCCAGATTCCTGGATCCCAGACCCTAGGGGATTCCCATGCCCCTCTTCAGAAGGTCTACCTGGAGCTGCCAATGATATGCTGCTCATCCGCCCAGGGCTAGTGGGCAGGTGCTATTGCCCATTAGCCGGGTGAGTAACAACTCAGAGAAGTTCGGTGACAGCCAGTGCCACCCGGGCCAGAGCAGTCAAGCAGGTTGGGGACTGGGAAAGCAGGGAGCCCCTGGACTCTCTGGGATTCCTAAGGTATTCCTACTTGGTGGCCTGGTGCTGCAGAAACAGTCCTCACTCGATGATGAGGTCCAGGAGGACAGGGCTGAGTGTCCTCTTGCTGAGTGTCCACCTTGCCAGCCCAGAGCCAGACATACTGTCAGCACCATATGAGGAGCTGATGGGTGCGTGAACAAACACATGAATGAGCAAGAGGAAGAGCTCGTGGAGGCAGCGGGGTCCAGATGCAAGCGGTGACAGGGGTCAGCTGTGTCAGGCGGTCTCCCGGGTCAGGGTGGGCTGGCGGCTGCTCACCTGGCAGCTGATGGACACCAGAACAGGCGCATACACAGATGAATGGACGCGACGTCTCTGCCAGTCCCCAGCCATAAATCACAGGAGAAGCCACGGGAAATGAGTGCCAGGCTTTTCTTTCTATTTAGTAATTTATCAAGGGAAGAGGCGCATTAATAAACATATTTCCCTTGAGGGGTGGGGATAACAGAGATGAATATCACTGTCAGATTTGGCCTGTTTCCTCTTGTTAGGGGCACATGAGAGGGTGGGAATCCAAATATTATCAGTGAAACCTATTTTTAAGAAATGTATTATAAAGAAGCATTTCTTCCTTTAGATGGCGTTAGGTCTTTTCTCCCCTTATATGTCCCTGTTTGCCACTCAGTTCATAAATAACAGGGATCGTCGAGAAGATTCGCTTTGGCATCTTTGAATTTCCTTGAGTAAGAGTGAACTCAGTCATTAGGAACTAAGACAAGTAGAGGCTGAGCGAAGGAATGGGGGGTGAGTGGCTGTTTTGTGGCAGGTGCCTGCTGTGTGGCCGTCACGGTTTCTGGACCGCTTGTCCTTTGCTCCATTATTACCTCTAGGCTCACCCTGCCCATCAAAACAGGCTTCGCAGCCCTTCAAGAAGCCACGTTAATTCAGTCTCATTCTGGAAGGGCTGCTGGGATTTAGCACTCTCCTCGGTGCTGTCCTTGTGTGTTCACGACAACCCTGCAGGTAAGGCCATGCTGCCCCCATGTACGGATGGGCAAAGCAAGGCTCCACGGCAGCTGCTGCCAGGCTCACTGTGGGGGCTTTGGGATGAGCAAGGCAAGTGATGAAGTGGGTTAGGCGGGTGGAGGTTAGAAGAAAGGGGGCCAGAAGAGGGCTTCAGGGGCACCCTCAGTTGTGGAGGGGGTGTGGAGAGGGAGGGGTCAGGCCGGTTCCTGGGTTTCTGTTGCCGTGTGAGTAAAGGGAACCCACAGAGCTCAGCTCTACAGGAGGTGGGGTGGAGGGGGTCTTGGGGGTGCTGAGTTGGGGCTGCCTCTCAGGTAATGAGAGAGGGTGGCTGCGAAGCTGCTGGCTGTCAGGAAGTTCACTTTTAGAACCACTTAAAGTGAGGCGGGAAAAGCTGTTTGCAGTGAGGGGGCATCTCCCTGGCCTGCCTCTCCCCACCTTTCAGAAGATAGTGAGGACACAGTGCCTGGAAAGCCACACAGCAGGGGTCCTGTGGACCTGGGTTCGAATCCCACCCTTATCTGCAAGGCTGGGTTTGCATCTCAGATGATGGTGGTAGCTGTTAAATAAGACAGTGAGTCTCAGTGTCACTAAACAGGACTGTCGCTGGGTCACTAGTATGAGAGATCAGAAGTGGCACTTATCTGAACACATCAAAGGGCCACATGCCCCTGACCCGCCCACATCTGTCTGTCTGTCACCTGGGCTGCTTGCCCAGATAGGTGCAGCAGCCGCACCCCCTGGAGTTGACCTGCTCCTCTGGCTTCTGTGAGGTGGAAGGACAAGGTTGGACGTACTGCGTCCCCAGGGGTGTGGGCTGGGATTCTTCCCGCTGCGTCATGTGAGAACATCACCTGCCAGTCTAGATGCCAGCTATACCTCTTGGCCCCCTGTGGGCCAAAGTGAGCCAGGGTCCCCAAACACATCTATGTAGCACCTCTGTGTACCACCATAGCTCTGTTAAAAGATCTGTAAGCCCCTGTTCTTAGAACCCAACAGAATAAACAAAGTATGCAATTCCATGAGCACTACAGCTGTGGGGCGCGTGCGGCCACCTCTGCATCTGTCATCCCATGATCACAGCAGTCTCGGGCCTGGCAGGGCACCTTTCTGTGCACAAGTCATTGGTGAAGATTCTGTGTCTCCCATGGGTTAAGGAATCTGCCCCAGGTCATGAGGCTGACTTAGGGCTCCAGCCCAAGACTCCCTGTGTGCGCCCACCAGCTCCACCCTGGGCTCCTGGGTCTTGACCAGGTTCAGCCCCACAGGCTGTGGCCCACTCCCCTCTGTGGCCTCTAACATCTCTTACCCACAAAGGAGACAGGAGAGAAAGCCCTGGAATCCCCTTCCAGCCCAGAGATTCTGGGGCCTTCTCTTTGCTCTCCACAATCCAAGAGAAGTGTTTCTCCTGATTGCTCAGTGATAAAGGGGCTTCCCAGGTCTGCCAGCCAGGGAAAGTTGGGAGGCAGCAGTGGATCCCAGGGCATGAGGTAGTGGGGCCAGTGGGTACTGGGGGTGGGGGTTCAGAGATTCACAGCACCATCCTTGGTGCTCCCACAGCTGTAGAGGGAGGGCACTAATGCATGAACCCTGCAGCCAGGGAGGAGGGGCCCTATGGGGTCTGAGCAGGCAAAAGGGAAGAAGGCAGCATCACCACCCCAGGAACACTGGGCATGGGCATGGAGGTGGGCCGGGCTCTGTGTAGCAGTGGGTGTGTGCTAGCCACCACTAAGTTGTTTACAGGCACCCCTGCAACCCCAAGGAAACCTGAAGCCCCTGAAGGGGGTCTGGTAGGCAGGGTCCAGCAGGGCCCAGGAAGAGGCTGTTACATGCAGGTGGGCAGGGACATGGCCAAGCATTGGCCTGTCAGGCTGTGTGCCAGGCACTTGTCACTCATCGCCTGCTTACACTTCACCACAGCTCTGGGGTCAGCACTATTAGACCTTTCCACAAAGAGGAAACTGAGGCTCAAGGAGGATCTTGACAGGGCAGGAGCCTTAATATATAGAGTTGGCCAATGATGCTGTCAGGTCATTTCTAGGCCATTCTTTGTCCAGAGGAGAGACCCAGAACCCTGAGCAGGGTGCACAGTGGGAGCTGAGAGAAGGAGCCTCTGACCCCATGTGGGAACGCCGGTGACCCCAGGTGCAGGGAACCCTGGTCTGGGGCAGGCCCTTGTCTCTTCCCATAGTTATAAAGGGGTAAAGGGTAGTCAGACAGGGTGGTAGAGGGATGTGCATGTACTAGCATGTATGTATGTGGGGGAGAGGTGTGTGTGTATGTGTATATATATGTGTGTGTGTGTGTCTTTAAGGCAACAGGTTTCCTGGGCCTCAGGTGACTGGAATGGAAGGAAAGGCCTCTGTGTTCCAGAGCTGTCTTCCTCTTGTCAGGCTGCCTTTCCATGGCATCCTCCCTGCCTCATCGGCAGCCTGCCCAGCAGGCCAGGAGAACAAGCCACAGGCCCAGGCATCATGCTAGGAGTCTGGGGGCAACTCTCCAGGCCTCTGCTTGGTGAATCCCTATGCTGGGGGGTCAGGCAGGGACTTTAGGGTAATCCCAGATGTAACATGCTCTGCGACTGGGACTCCTTTCCCTCTCCTCCTCACAGATTAGTCTCCGAGTGAAATTCTAGAGCAATAAAAAAGAGCTATTTAGTATATGTATGAGCCTGTACTTCTGAATCATACAGTGTGGTAAACCAATGTTACCTCTATTTAAAAAAAGAAAAAAACAGCTGCTACCACGCACAGTCACATGGAGAAATCACACAAACTGATAATGTTGGAGGAAAGAAGCCAGATAGGAAAGAGGATTTATAATTCTATTTAAACAGCAGGCAAATACCCAAAGTAGGCAACGCTAAGCTGGGTTTTAGAAACCCAGACGGCGGCTGCCCTTGGGGTGAGCCTGGAAGGGGACGAAGGGGTTCTGGGTGCTGGCCAGGCCCTGGTCTTGACCCGGCACTGGCTTCACAGGTGTTCACTTCGTGAGAGAGGCCACCAAGCTGTTCACTGGTGCTTTGTGCACTGTCATGTCTTCAGCTCTCCCTGGTCTCTGTACCCCCCTAACACCTCTGCATGCCCCCTGAAAGCAAAGAAACACACGAGCCTATACTCAGTGTTCATAGACACTCACTCAAGCACCTGATGCTCGTTTCTCAAATCCTCACCACGTCACATGAGGGTCGCCTCCTATTTTATGGACCAACAAACTGAGACTGAAAGAGGCTACATCCCTTGTCCCAGAGCCCACGGAGCTACATTTCCCATTAACTCCACCTCCTGGGTCTTTCCTGTCCCCTCCAACCATCCCTCTTCCACCCCCGTAACCATGTGACGCTGACATGCTCTGGGCCGCTGTCCCCACAGTGTCGCGCTTCTCCAGCCCAAGGGTGACACCCCGCCTGAGCCGCAAGCGGGCACTGTCCATCTCGCCGCTCTCAGATGCCAGCCTGGACCTGCAGCGGATGATACGGACCTCGCCCAACTCGCTGGTGGCTTACATCAACAACTCGCGGAGCAGCTCGGCAGCCAGTGGCTCGTACGGACACCTGTCAGCAGGCACCCTCAGGTGAGTCCAGCCTGCAAGCAGCAGGCCGGGAAGGGGAAGCCGGGCTGCAACCCAGTGCGGAGAGGCCAGGCTCTCAGCCTGAGGAGAAAAATAGGACTCACAGCTTTTGTGAATCGGTAGACTTGCAAATCTTTCATGAGTTCAAAACAAGTAATGATGAAACTAAAATGTGCCCGTATCTGGTATGTCTTCTGGAGCTGTTATTCATCCCCTATACAATTTCTCACGTGAAAAGTGACATTTAATGGCCTTGGATGGAAGATTCAGTGATGAAGCCAAAGGTGCCTTCCTTATGATGTCAGCAGGGGTCTTGGAGCAGCCTGGCAACTGACCAGCACTGGGGGCCACACAAGGTGTAGCGCTGACTTGGGCCAGGCAAGGCCCTGACTGGCACCATATCCCAGCGTGGCACAGCACCTCCCTGTGCCCTCTGTTTTGCTCATGAGTCCTTTTGCTCTAAGCAGTCAGATCCTGACTGCCTTGACTAAAACTCATGTCTTTCCCTGACCTTTTGAGAGAAGCCAGGGGGTATTAGGAATGTCAGGATTTCTCCACCAAGGACCCCAGGATAGAAGTAAAAACCAGTATATTCAGTGGCATTTGCTGCATAACAAATTACTCCAAAACTTGGCCATTTAAGAAAATAAGCACATGCTGTCTCCCCACTGCGTCTATTGGCCAGGAATATAAGACTATCTTAGCTCCAGGCCGCTCATGAGGCTGCAGTCAAGATGTCAGCCAGCACTGTAGTCACCTGGGGACTGAATGAACCGGGATTCTTTCCAAAACAGATGATTCGCTTGGCTCTTGGCCAGAGCTGTAGTTTCTCATTAAGGGAGAGCCTCTCCATAAAGCTGTTTGAGCTTCCTCACAATATGGCAGCTGACTCCCTACCCACTCCAGAACAAGTGAGCCAAGAGAACAAGGAGGAGGCCACAAAGTCTCTTATAGCTTAGCCTCAGAGATCTGACTAGATCTTCAGTCTGACTACATCTTCAGTCTCCTGCTCCAGGAAGTGACTCATGTACAAGTGTATGACAGAGACTAGAAGTGCCATAGACGTTCAAGGAGAGAGAGGGTGATGTAAACAGAGAGCGCAGGACACCTGCCTGGATGAGGGCCGTTAGAACCAGCCTCGGGACTGAATGGGATTCAAATGCAGGGGTGCATCTCAGGCTCAGAGCAGTGGGGATCAACTGTGGGAGTGAAGTGGAGCCTGGGGGCACCTCCTGAAGGGCCAGTCTCCCAGAGATGAAGGCTGCATGGTGAGATAAGGTCTGGGAGCTAAGCAAAGAGGCAAGACCTGAGGTGGCAGTCGGTGGAGAACCGCTGCTGTATCTCGAGTGAGGTGAAGCCATGGTGCCAGTGAGGCTAGTGACAGGTCCACCCCACCCCCTGGGTAAGGTCCCCTAGCCCAGAAAGTATTAACCTGACAGAGCCCCTGCCCTCGCTCTGCTATTCTATTACCTTGTCTGCTCTTCCTTGCAGCCCAGCCTTCACTTTCCCCCACCCCATCAATCCCGTGGCCTACCAGCAGATCCTGAGCCAGCAGCGGGGCCTGGGCTCTGCCTTTGGACACACGCCACCCCTGATCCAGCCCTCACCCACCTTCCTGGCCCAGCAGCCCATGGCCCTCGCCTCCATCAATGCCACACCCACCCAGCTTGGCAGCAGCAACTGTTTGGGTGACAGCAACCACCAGGTAAGGGGAGCCAGGAGCAGGGAATGGATCCCAGGAGAATTGGCCATGGCCATCTCATGCTGGAAACTTGCGGCAGGCTCTGGCTGCAGGTCAGGCTGATGGATGGCTTCCTGGCAGAGGGTGCATGATCCAAAGGGCCTTGGGCTGGATGCTGGGTCAGGAGACCTGGGCTCTGTCCTAACAACATCCTCACATGGGTGGTCACTCAGCCTCTGTTCCGCAGCCTCCCATCCCATAGATGTGACCGGTAGATGAAGAAACCCTAGAAATCATAGGGTCTGACACATGTGAAATGGATGGATTAATGGATCAGAATTAATGTCATGTACTTTGGAGTATTAGTTTAGCACAGGTGATTTTTATCTGACCTTCCCTGAGGACCTTTGAATGCCCGGGGGGACTTGCACAGTAGTCTTTGGTGAAGGACTGACGACCTGTTTTACAGATGAAATAATAGCATCAGAGAGCATATGGGGCAGTGGAAATGGCATGGGCTTGGGAATCAGACCACATTCGATTCAGCTTGTCTGAACGTGGCCAGTCTCCTTACACCTTTCACCTTGCGCTGGCAGGCCTGCCACCCTGGCGGAGGTGCGCAAGCTTGTGCGCAAGCTTGTTGCTCACACAGGCCATGGGACCCAGATCTTGATGACAGTTCTTGAGGTGAAGCCACTTCCCAGGCCACCCTCATGGCAGGACAGAGCCTCATCTGACCACGTGCTGGGGAGAAGACAGGGTACCACAAGGTCCAGAGCAGCCCCTCTTCAGGTCCCCCTTCCCCACCATCCCGAGCTCCAGTGACCACCTGGTGCCTCCCCAGTGACTGCCGGCCTCTCACACCTGACACCACAGTTCTAGCCCCACTCTCAGACTCAGCACCACTGCCACTGCTCTGGCGGCCTAAGAAGTTGAAGCGAGGTTGTCGGGACGGAAACGCTCAGCATTTCCCTGAAGTCAGGGTGCTGGAGTTGGGAGCTGCACAATGGGGAGGAAGGTGCTGGCAGGCCAAGCTCAGTGCTCCTGGCCAGCAGAGTACTGACCTGGGAGCATGCAGTTTCTGCAACCTCAAACGCAGGGTTGACCCAGAAGTTCTTTGTGGGGAGGGTTCCGTTGGCATAGCCCAGACAATTTGGGGTGCCTCCACATGATGGGATCTCTTATACACGCCTCTCCCTAGAATAAGCAGAGCAGCGAGTCAGCCGTGAGCAGCACCGTCAACCCCATCGTCATTCACAAGCGCAGCAAGGTCAAGACTGAGGTCGAGGGCCTGCGGCCAGCCTCCCCCTTGACCCTGACACAGGTAACTGCTGGCTGTCCTCTCCATCCTCAACTGGGGCCAGTCCTCAGTTCCTCTGGTGAATGGATAAGCAGATGGCTGCATGAATGAACAAGTGAGTTCAGGGAGCTCAGGGAGGAGCAGTGCTGTCTCCAGCACCTTGTGCATAATACATGCTCATCAAACACCTGCTGAATGCATGCACGCATGAATGAATGAATGAATGCATATCTGATTTTTCAGCCAGCTCTCCCCACAATTCACGGTCAAACAGTGCAAGCCCCAGTCAAACTGATATTCTTGACCTCTGAATGGCTCCCTCTCCTTGGAAGTCCATTCCCTATCCTATACCCACCACTGTCACCTCAGCCTCTCCTGACCTCCTGGATAATAGGACTCACCATCACCCAGACACCCAGATGTCTTCCACTGCACTGTAGCCTCTGGGGAGGTAGCACATTGGGAGAAGCACAGCTCCATATCACTAGGGTTTGCACAGGCCAGGCACATAGTGGCTGTGTAGTATTTTCTAATGACTCATTGCACCTTTGAGGGAGTGGGCGGCATGGTGAAGGGGGAGGGAAGGGAAGGTGGTTTCAGGCAGGAAGGTGAGGATCCAGCCTGCTCTGAGTCTGAGACCCTGGTGCAGGCCTCTTTGGAGATTCTGCCACCTATCTCAGCACTCCCAATTGGCAGGCAGAGAGCCCAACTAGGGGAGAAGCCTGTGGTGGAAGAGTGTGGTATGTGTGCTGACCCCTTGGGTGGGCCTCCCACACCCCAAGCCCTCACGGTGACTTGGTCTCCATCCATTACTGCAGAATCACCAGCTTTGACACCAGGGATGCTCAGGGCCTCTTGTCCCCATCTTCCCTACTTCTGCCAGGCCATCCTTTATCAGACCTGTAAACCATCAGGCAGGCTCCGGGCACTTAATTTTTATGAAATATTGGGTCCTGTTATTGTCAGGCAAACAGAGGGGTTGGTGACAAATTCTCCCCTCGCTGACGCCAAAGCATCTCAGCATGATGCATGGTTTCCACGAGGCTGGCCATCACTAGGGGCTGTTGAAATTGATGAGGACGGCACATAGCCAGGTGAGATAACATGACAGAGCGGTGAGGATGAGTTGGCGAGGCGCTGAGCATCTGGGAGCCCCGAGCCCCAACCCCTCCATCTAGGAGGGGTGCACACAAAGCCCTCCCTCCTCCCCAGCGTGGCTCCTTCCTCAGTTGTGTCAATGAAAGGAAAGCCATTTATCATCAGTAAGTTGTCACTGTGTCACTCAGTCCTGATTAGTGACCTGACTCATTTGCAAGGTGAATGGGCTTGCTTTCCTTGGATAGAAAATGCAGCATAATGAATCCCCTCTCCATTTAATCCCTAAAATCATGAGCTAGGAGACTGCCCAGCCTAAGCATACCCACTCCCCTGTGCTGCCCTCCACTTGTCAATCTGGCAGCTTCTTCAAGTCTCCTGTGAAATAAGCCGGGCATGCAGCTTATGGAAACAGTAAGTCTATTTCCAGTTGTTCTGAAACTGCAGAGGGTATTAGGAGGCCCCAGCACTGCAGGCCTCCCTACCTTAGGATTTGGGGTCCAGGTGCTCCTGCATCTTGCTCTGAACGTGGCCCCAAGACTGCCCGGGGCCTTGCTGTACTACACACTGCCTATCCTTTTTCAGATCATGCTCATTGACTGAAAGGTATTCCTTTTGAAGGACATTGCAGCTCCAGTGGAAAGTCGATCAAGACTGTGAGTCTGAGATTGGCTTCTATCTGCCTAGAAATGACTCCACATTAGTAAAAAGCCTGATAACGCGAGCCTCAGACTCTCTGGACCTGTGGGTGCAGGGGCTCTGACTATGGAGGGAGGGCTGTCCCCCTCAATCTGAAAAATAAATATTTTCCCACTGGTGCTTCTCAAAAAGAGAACATTCCTACCATTTGGGACATAGCTTGAAATGTAAAGCAAGACATCCTGACATCTGCTTGGCTCAAGTCTGAGCCTGCCCAGCAGGCCAGTGGAATATGGGAGTATCCTTGACATCCTCTGGAGATCTTCCCTGGGCCTTCATTCCAATCTGGTGTATCTTTGCCTCTCCCTTTCCCCGGCTCCTGCTACTTCCAGCCTGTCCCCCTGCGCCTCTCTACCCCCCCCCCACCCCACCGCCGACCAGCTGTGTTAGCAGCAGCTGGGGTGGGGCAGCCCTGCAGGGGTAATTCTCAGTCTCTTCCTGGTTTAGGAGTAAAAGTCTTTGTCATCTTTGACATCTCAGGGACCTTCCTTTGCCACCCCAAAATGGGCACATGTTGCCCCAGCATGATCAGGAGCCTGGTGTCCAGATCTCAGCTGCCACAAACTCACTGTGTATTCTGGGGAGGTCAAGTCAACCTCTCCCTGAACCTCAGTTTTTCCAGCTGAGCGGTATCAGCACCAGCCAACCCGGGGCAGCTATGTTTAGGTTTAAAAAGAAGTAAGAGAAAAAAATGTGGCAATTTTGGAGGTACCCGGGTCAGACTTGAAGCTGGCCACACCATTCAGGTACAGAAGAGCTCACCGACCCAGCTTCGATGCAGGGCGATGCAGGGCAGGTTGGATGCACTACCAGGTTTTAGTTTTCAGTTTCAATTTTTTTTGAAAACATTCCAAGTCTGAACTCCCACTGGCACCAATTTGGTTCAGACTTGCACAGGTACCAGTCAAGTCTTGGAAACAACTGGTTTGGAAAGTGGACGAATCAGATTTGAAAGGCACGTACCCTGAAGGTGGATATAAGCAGAAGCTGCTGGGGAAGGCCTCAGCCAGCTTGAGGGAGAGCAGGCTTGAGAGGAGATTTGAGGCTGCTTGGAAAGGCTTTGGCCAGTTGAGACTGACTCAGCTTGGAAGAAGCTTCAGGAGGAGACAGACTTGGGCTTCAGGAGAGAAGCTGCGGTGCAGCCTCGGCAGCGCCACCCCTGTCTGCCCCCTGCTGCCACAGGGTGTTGGGATCTGGGGCAGCGCTGCGGGTGTGCTGCCGCTTCAGGCTCTCGTGGGATGGACAATGCTGTCTTGCATGAGCAGCTTTTGGGCTCAGCTACTGGACACACTGGACACTATCTGGAGTGGGAGAGCTGGCCATCTATGGCCTTAGGAACTCTGTCCCTATCCTGATTTCCCCTTGTAAATGAACCTTGTTGATTTTACACCCTGAAATTGAGCGGCGTCTTGCAATTGTGAGCACATGGGTCAAGAACCCACCAACAATGACCTGTCCCCCACCTTTGCACACTTTCAGGAGGGGAGAACAATAAGAAAATAAGTGTTCTGAAGGGTCAAGCATCTGCATGTTGGGCTTTCTCTTGCCTCCAGGTAGAAGCAGACCCCACACTCACTAACCGTAAAAATGCACTGATCCCTGAGTCTTTGGGGCCCACCCTGGCCCCCTCCTACCAGGATGAAACCAAACCCAGCAAGCAAGTCACTGCATCCCTTTCCCCTATTCTTCTTGTCATGTCACTTGACCGTGAATGTGATGGGACACCTTATTGGTGCCATGTCACTTGACCGTGAATGTGATGGGACACCTTATTGGTGCCAAGTCAGCATTAGAGAGGAGGGAGGGGCCCCCAAGCAGCTATGATAGGAGGAGCGATGGTGGAGCTGAGCTGAGGAAAGGGGCTGAGATGAGAAAGCTGATGAGTGCATTTGTGTGTGTGTACACATGGGGGTGTGGTGCATGTGTTTGTGTGGCCGTGTGCATCAAGTGGGTCTGTGGTACAGCCTGCATAGGGCAAGCAGTGATCTTTCCTCTGGGCCAGGTAGCTGAACATGGATCAGGTGGATGTGCTTTGCCCTCCCCCAGGAGCAGCTGGCTGACCTCAAGGAGGACCTAGACAGGGAAGACTGCAAGCAGGAGGCTGAGGTGGTCATCTATGAGACCAACTGCCACTGGGAAGACTGCAGCAAAGAATACGACACCCAGGAGCAGCTGGTGCATGTAAGTCTCCAAGCCCCAGCAGCCTGCTCGCCCAGGACTAAGGCCACACTGGGCCTTGAGCCTTCCAGCTCCTCTGCTGGAGGGAAGGGCTGGAGGAGTAGACCAGGAGATCCCTGGCCACTTGTTCTTTCTGTAGGAGACTGTATTTATATGCACCCTGCTTGTTTCTAAAAGGAGAATTTTAGAAACAAATATAGAGATGATATAGATGAAGAGAAGGCCTGGGAGCTGGATGTGTCCTTCAGGTTATGTCTCTTGGTCCCCCCTCTATACCCCTCTCTACAGGAACATCCATATGGCTGAAGTCAGGAACTTTTTGTGGTAGGATGAATAAGAGCAGGGGCTCGGTGTGGGAGCCCCTGACTTCAACTAGGCCCTATAACAGCCAGCCAAGGGGGTCTGAACAGGTGACAACCTCTTGTTTTCTCTCCTGTAAATGGAGGGATGGAGATTGAATATGGTACCAAGGTAAACCCTTAGCAGGTAGCAACATTCCACACATGTGACCTCCCTCCTGCCTCTTCCCTCTTCTCCATGCAGCAGAGAACTGAAATCCAAGAGCTGAAATCCCCATGCACACACTACTTGGTGGACAGGTGAAGAATGCACAAAATGAGCAGCCTTCATGGGCAGACACAGCACACATTCTCTCACACTCTGTTCCCATCCAGAAACCACCCCAAAGACGTGCACTTGTCCCCGGCTCCTTGGACTCGGCACTGAGGACGTACCTACTCTCTCTGCCGCCTCCAGGCATGCCACTTGGCTCAAATGCTACAGATTGCTTTTGCATTTGGGTGTTTCTCCCCAAATTCTTGCCCAGGAGACTGGAATTTCCCAGCCAGCTCATCGCAGCTGACAGAGAACCTTGAAGCGGTGTCTTACCTAATCCCTCTAGAACTTGGGTATAATTTTTCAACCCGTAGGATCTCTTTGGGTAAACACATCTCGAGATAGAGGGGGGCCGCTGGGAATGTGAGTTGTAGAACAGATCAGAATGAATCAAAAAAGAAGAGAGGGGCCAATATGTGGGGTGGGAAGAGGACCCAGGTAATGGGGTGCAGGCGAGGATGTAAAAGATGTGTTCAAAGATGATGGGATGGACCCAGGAAGCAGATGAATCCCAACATGGGGAGGATGGTTTCAGCTGCAGACTGTCTGAAGCTAGGGGTGACCGCCCCGACCTGGCCCTGGAAATACCCGGCTCCCATTAATGGGGAGACGCAACCCCTCTGCCCAGCTCTTTCTGCTCCCTGCCAGACGGATGGCAGCAGGCGCACAGGCGAGCTGGAACCCCCAGTCAATTATTAACAATTTGTTGCTAAGTAAACCAATAAGAAAAAAAATGAAAGACATTGTCAGGAAGCATTTTTATCATTTGAAAGGCTTTAAAAATGGAGAATGAGTCTAATGTGATAAGATTCCCCTGGAAGTTCAAAGCTCAGTAGATTTTACTTGCTCTGTCACTACGTCTGTCTGCGTGACAGTCTCCTGTGTGGTTCACGCAGGAGAGCCCAGTGGTCTGCCTGGCTGGGGTTGCCATTGCATCCACGCTTAGCCCTCGGCTGACTTGTAGGTTGCAAATGATCTCCAATGGCATCGCCCAGTGAAAGACAGCGTAAGCCACAAATACCAGGCACACGTGCAACTTTACATTGCCTAGGAGCACATTTTAAAAAAGAGTAAAAAAAAAGGATGAAATTAATTTCAATGCTTTATGTAACCCAGGAGATCTAAAATATTATTTCAACCTATAATCAATACAAAGGAAAGTTATTGAGATAGTTTATGACCCTTTTGCTTTCCATTATCTGTCTTTGAAACCAGTGTACAGTTTACGCTTACAGCCATGTCAGTTGGGACCAGCCACATTTCAAGTAGCGAGTGACCACTGCAGTGGACTGTGCGGGTCAGAGGTTGTGGGAGGGAGGGTGAGGGCTGTAGGAGGAAATGAAATGGGGGGAAGGGAGGTGAGGACAGAGAGAAGAAAAGGAATGGAGCTGGATAGGAGAGAAAGTGGGACCCCCAAGACCCGGGAGTTTTGCCTTCCACAGCTCCCTATAGAAAGCAAGGACAGGCTTACCCATAACATGGCAGGACATGGAGGGGAACTTCTTGGATCCAGAGAGGCTCCCAGGTGGTGTTTAGAGCACCCAGAGGTGGCGGAAGCAGGAGCATCAGTATACTTTTCCACTCTGCTGTGTGAGGGACTTATACCACCTCTTCCAGCCCTGCAGTTATATGAATAGCCCTAGAGATGGAGGGGGCAAAGGACCCGGAAGCCTCATACATACTAATGGAGCCCGAGGGTAAAGGTAGTAATGCCTGCCCCAGGGAGGCTGCAGCCTTTGGTTAAATAATCACAGCAAGTGACCAAAGACCAAGGGTCTACCAAAGGCAGGTCACGCTATTACCTGCCACGGGAAGCCTCCGTGGCCCACCGCTCTGCGCTGCAGGGGAAACTACCCCATGATAGACACAGATGATGGGCCCAGGGCAGAGGCCTGAAGGTGTGGGTGCAGGGACTGGGAAAAATAAGTTAGCTTACATCCTGGACTAACAGTGCTGCAGGCTGGGATGGGTCTGGGGACCTCCTCTGCAGGGATTCCCTATCAGAGCCCACAGCCATTTTGTGGGATTAGTCACACTGTCTGGCTGGGCAGCCTTACCCTCCTGGGCCATTTCGCCCCAGGGGCAGCTTTACACAGTGCCCAGAGCCCACCGGCAGGATCAGAATGTAGCTCCACTACGATTATCGCCTGCGCCGTGAGCAGCCACTTAACACTGGGGCTTTGCGAAAGAGGGACTGAGCTGTCATCTCGTGGGTTACTGCCAAAATAGAGACAAAACTCTTTTATGTTTCCATTATAATTAAATTTTTTATTTAAAAATCTCTGGAGCAATAGGCAAGCTCAGGATCTTCTCATGCACCCATAGGTGCATGTCTGTCTCACTGCGCTTAATTAGCATCTACTGTTTACAACCTGGGACCATCATGATAGCCACCAACTCCCCAGGGGTCAGAGAGGGCCAGCCAGGAGGCCAGCCTGGAGTAAGCAGGGAGCCTTTGACCATCCTAGATGGCCACTGATGTGGTAGGCAGGTGTCAAGGTTAGCTAGGCGTGAGCTGTGGAAGAATCCACAGACACTGATGGGTTAGAAATAAAGCAAAGTTTATTGAAAGTACTTTCCCAAGGAGGAAAGAGCAGAAGTCAGGCAGACGCTGCAGAAATCAGTGGCTCTCTGCTGAGTGACAGCAGCTGGAATCTAGCTTTTATATTCGAATTCCCTTTGCCTTTTTGCCCACTTAGCAAGCTCAGAGTTAGCAAGTGCGGGGTACATCCTGTTCTCTACAGGTGGGGAGGGTGTTGATGGCACTGAAGGGGGCTGCTGTGGCAAAGGAAATATTGCTAGTGGTTGAGGAGCTAATGGGGGTGCCAACCCAGGACCCAGTTTAATTCAAAAGTTTAATTTACCCTCATCAGTCACTTTAATGACTAATTGGAAAATGCAGTCGAGACAAGTAACACACAGTAGATCTTCATTTAATGGCACTTAATGAGAATGCATAAGGAGGTGGGTGGCCTGTACATAGACATGGTCTTGTGGGGTGATGGTCTGCAGAGAGTAGGTGGTGGGCAACGTGGCAGATGGTCTGCACACCCAGCAGGGGTCGGGAGGGGTGGGCGGTGGGGCCCACTCCTCCATGGTCTCTTCCCTCAGCACATCAACAACGAGCACATCCACGGGGAGAAGAAGGAGTTCGTGTGCCGCTGGCAGGCCTGCACGCGGGAGCAGAAGCCCTTCAAGGCGCAGTACATGCTGGTGGTGCACATGCGCCGGCACACAGGCGAGAAACCCCACAAGTGCACGGTGAGTGGGCCCCGGGCGCAGCCCTGCCCCGCAGCAGCATCTGTGGGACGGGCCCCAGGAGCCAGGTGATGTGCTGCATGCAGCTAGCACAGGCACACCTGGGTGGGATGGCCCACAGCAGCGGCACTGGGGGACAGGCACTGTGTGCGGCTGCCCTGGGCCTTCTGCCTTGCATCCTTGAGGCCCCTGCCAGACCTATTAAGTGGTCTTGGCACCTTGTCAAAAGTAGGTTGGCCATCAGAGTATGCGTTTATTTCCGAACTCCTGTTCCATCCACCTCTATGTCTGTCCCCTTGCTAGCACCACACACAGTCTTGCTTGCTGTCATTTCGTAGGAAGGTCAGGCCTCCAATTTTGTCCTCCTTTTGCAAGATTGTTTGGTTCATCTGAGTCTTTTGCAGCAAGTAATTTGCTTCACATCCTCGGTGATGGCAAACCACAGTCCTCTGCATATGAGCTGTGACTGTGAACCAGATAAAAGGCATTTGGAGGGCCTCCCTGGTGGCGCAGCGGTTGAGCGCTGGGTTGCGAAGCTGCCTGCAGCCTCTGCGGCACCAGTTCGATCCCCGCAGCCTCTGCAGTGCCGATTCGATCCCCGGCTGCTCCCCGGCCACCGGAGGAGGGTCCTGCATGGCGCGCAGACCTCTCCTGCCGCCCGCTGCTCCCCTCAGCAGTGTACTTCGGTCCTTCTGCCTGCTCTGCTCCCCGCTCTGGCTCTGGTGAATTCTCTCACCCTCCCGCACTTCTGACTGTACCCAGTGCTTGTATAAACAAAACAAACAAACAAATAAATAAATAAAACATGCCTCTATTTAAAAAAAAAAAAAAAGGCATTTGGAGCCAAGCCAAGTGTGCTCAGCCACATTGGTCAGAAGCAAAGGGGAGGATGTGACGGAGGGAGTTCCCCTGGGGTTTGCCTGTCACCCTGGGAACACCTCACGGGTACATGGGGTGCGATTGAAGACTCTTTAGAACAAACCTCCTGCAAAGGCCCTTCCTTCCCCCTATTCCTTCTCCCCTGTTCCTCCCTCCCCCTCTTCCCCTTCCCCTACCCCCTCCTTATCTCCCTGTTCCTCCCCTTTCCTCCCTACCTTTCCCAAAATTCTCTTTCTTGTCAGGTGCTAAATACCAGGAACACAGAAATGAACGAGACCTAGAAGGTACCAGCTCTCATGGAGCCTTGTACCCTCGTGGGAAATCCAGAGCACAAACGATTAATTTCATTATAGATGTGTTCGGGAGAGTGAAGGGTGGGATATGATGATTAAGAATATCGGAGACATGCTCTCAGAGGAGATGACCTAGAAGACAAGAGGGGGAGAGAGCGAGCCAGGGTGGAGAAAGGTTCCAGCCAGAGGCGCGTGCCCCGAAGGACTCAGTGGTGTCGCTCAGCGGCAGGAGCAAGGGTGAGGGGGACAGGCTCACCCAGAGGACTCTGGATTTTATTCTCAGCCCATTTTAAAACACAGAAAAATTCTAAACAGGGAGTGGCATTTGGGAAACAGATAAAAATAACATTTTCAAAGATTTTTAATGATCAGGAAAGAGTCTCATGATGTGCTATTGATTTTAACAAGCAGAAGGTATAACTAAATACTCAATATGTTTCCATTTTGGGGATAAAGTCTGATTGGGGATGAGCTGCAAAGTTACTGCATGAGCTCTACCTGGAGGTTGGCAGGCGCTATCCCCGGGCAGCCAATGGTTTTTATTTTCTTCTTTGTACTTGTCAGTCCTCTCTAAGTTTTCTAGAGTGCTCACATGTCATTCTTATAATCAGAAAGGAAGTTAAATGTTATTGTTAAAAAACATACTTGTGCCTTGGTGGGGGTGAGGGGAGGCAGCAGGCCACCTCCAAGGTCAGGCGCCCTGCCCTGGATCTGAGGCCTGTCACTGACTGAACCGCCTCTCCCCAGTTCGAGGGCTGTTCGAAGGCCTACTCTCGCCTGGAGAACCTGAAGACGCACCTGCGCTCCCACACCGGGGAGAAGCCATACGTGTGTGAGCACGAGGGCTGCAACAAGGCCTTCTCCAACGCTTCTGACCGCGCCAAGCACCAGAACCGCACCCACTCCAACGAGGTACACATGCCCTGCCAACTCGTGCCCAGATGTGCCACCTCATGCTTCTGGACACCTGGTGTAGGCCACAGGTAGCCAGGTGCCATGAGCCCTCGCCCACCACTGACCTGCCCCTGCAGCCTACAGCTGATACGCAGCTCTTGCTGCCTGGGCTGCCGTCCACCCCTGCCACCCAGTGATGGAGCAGAACAGCCTCTCTCCCCAGGCGGCCAGAGCTCCTGGCAGGACTGAGAGCACAGAGGAGGAAGTCAGGCAGGAGCTGTGTCTGCTGTTACCCACCTCCGCTCCCACCCAGCCACTCACTGTCACTCAGTAGCCCTGGGAAGGAAGGAGTCTGCGAACTTAGGTACATTTTAAACCCCAAAGGGATCCTGTGTGCCAAGGCTTGAAAGAAGTTGCAGGAATTTCGAAAGGTATCTAAACCCTTCAGAGCTTCTGCACACAAGAGCTAGCCTTGGAGAGAGGGGTATGCCTGTGTGTGTGTGTTTGTGTGTGTGTGCGTGTGTGTTGGTAAGTACCTGTGTGTACATACATGGATGTGTGTATATGTGGGTGTGCATGCATGCATGGGTACAAGCGTGTCTATGCCGGGGTAAGTGTCTGTATATAGAGATATGTTTGTAAGTCTGTGTATACGCGCGGGATTATATGCATGTGTGTCTAATGTATGTGCATGGGTGTGTGTATGAGCTCAAGATGTAGGATCACAGACCCTGGGCCTATTTCCAATAACTTTGAGCCAGGCACATTGTCTCTCTGAGCCTGTCTTTCTTCCTCAGAGATGCAAGGGTCCAGAAGGATAATGAGGTAATACACTAACCAGGAACATCAAGAATCCCAGCACCCTGCTCATGGGAAGGACGCTTAGCGACACACCAGGCACTGAGTGGCCCCCATAGTCTCCCATCCATCCTGAGGCAGCTCTCTTAACCATATGCTCACCTGCAGGAAGTGGTGGCAGGCAAGGGCAGCTCTGGGGCTGACGTGGTACCATGCAGAGAATCGAGCAAATAGGTCAAGCACCTTCCGACTGTGCCAGCCAGGCTCTGCCAAAGGAGGTTGCAGGGCTTTAGGACAGAGCATGCTCTCTGCTCCCATCCATAATGCAGGCCTGATTCTCTTCCCAGAAACCCTACATTTGCAAGATCCCAGGCTGCACCAAGCGATACACAGACCCCAGCTCTCTCCGGAAGCACGTGAAAACCGTACATGGCCCAGATGCTCACGTCACCAAGAAGCAGCGAAATGACATGCACCTCCGTGCCCCCCTGCTCAAGGAGAACGGGGACAATGAGGCCAGTGCTGAGCCTGGTGGCCGGGGCTCTGAGGAGAGCACGGAAGCCAGCAGCACTAGCCAGGCCGTGGAGGACTGTCTTCATGTCAAAGCCATCAAGACCGAGAGCTCCGGGGTAAGCAGAGCTGGGCAGTGGAGGCCCTGATCCATGACCCCCCACCCCCAGGAAGTCAGTGGGTGTGAGGGCAATCATAGCCCACCCCGGAAACCAGAGCCTCAACTGCACCTGCAGACTCTGCCCCCAGGTTCCCCACCTCTAAGCACAATGATGCCACTTCTCTTTTTCCAACATGACCTTTCTCCCTTCACCTTGGGCCTCACACAGAGCCTGTCTATGGCCAGGCTGGCCCGTTCTTCTGGATCAGCCCCTGGACAATGGAGTTGCCTGCCCCCCGAGTGGTCATTTGCAAGGGGATGGGTGATTCCTGGTGCCTACCTTTCCAATCAGTGCCAGAGAGCCTCAGCTGGTCCCCTTCCCTCTGTCCTGTCTCTGCCACCTGCCTTCTGGCCTCCGCTCCTCTTGTTCTAACCACCTGTTCTTTGTCTCCACCTCTTTCTCCCGACTGTACCTCCCCTAAGGATAGACGGTACTGAGGTGAGCAGAGAAGTCGGTGCGGGTGTGGGGGGGATGGCGTGAGTGAGGATGTGCTGGGGTGCTTGTCCAGGGCGCTGGCTGGGCAGAGACTGACTTGTCTGGGAAAGGTGGGTTTGGATAGGTAGGCACCATCAGAACGTGTAAAGGCTGGCAGCAAGAGTCAAACTGGCAGATGCATGCAAACTGTGAGCACCAAGCCCACGTGGGGTAAGGCAGAGAGGGGGTGTGAGTCCAGGCTGCAGAGGAGGGATGGGTCTTGAGTGCCCAGGTAAGGAACGTGGGTGCTGCCAGGGATAGGAGGGAGCACTACCATTTCCCCAGGAAAGGTCTGGAATGAGACAGCTTTTAGCCTAGGAATGAGCCCAGAACTGCTGCAGTGGCGGTGAATCCCACTTGGGCTGAGATCCCACGCCGCAGTGGTGGGAGCCTAGTTTCGCAGAGGCCTGAACAGGGGTGGCGTTTCAGGCAAGATCTGTATCCAGCAGCCCCGCCCCTGCTGGTTGACCTTTCCCTTTCTAACAAGCTGCCTCTGGCCTGCTGAGAACGCACCAACTCGGCAGGCTGTGGTTCCCGGCCTCATCATGCACCCATGGCTGTTGCTGGCAATGTTTAAGTACCTTCTGTCACATTGACCCCATGTAGCTCTACCATGTAGCTGCGGCAGCCTCTGTGGGTCTCAGCTTCAGGTGTCCACACACTGCAAGTTCAACAGGCAGAGCTGCAGCCAGACCCTGGCTGGGAGAGCTTCGGAGCACATGTGGGGTGTGGGGTGACAGTTACTGGGTGCCTTGTGCATGCCGATGCTGTCCATCCACCATCCTCCAACCCTGTCCCAGGGACAGTTCAGGTCATCTTAGAGTTGGGGAAACCAAGGTCAGAAGTGAGGCTGTCCTTCCTGTTCCTGGATGTGCAAGGGTGTGGTGTGTGTGCAAGTGTGGGTTAAGGGCCAGGTGGGTGCTTGCACCCTCTGAGTCTTCTCCTTCTCCCTACTCCTCCTGCAGCTCTGTCAGTCCAGCCCCGGGGCCCAGTCGTCCTGCAGCAGTGAGCCCTCTCCTCTGGGCAGTGCCCCCAACAATGACAGTGGCGTGGAGATGCCGGGGACGGGGCCCGGGAGCCTGGGAGACCTGACAGCTCTGGATGACCCGCCCTCAGGGCCCGATGCCTCAGCCCTGGCTGCCCCCTCCGCTGGGGGCCTGCAGCTGCGCAAACACATGACTGCCATGCACCGATTCGAGCAGCTCAAGAAGGAGAAGCTCAAGTCACTCAAGGATTCCTGCTCGTGGGCCGGGCCAGCTCCACACACCCGGAACACCAAGCTGCCTCCCCTGCCGGGAAGTGGTGAGTGCAGGCCCAGGGTGTGGGGGCAGGCTCAGGAGAGAGCCTGGGGCAGCAGCCACAGGTTCCCCCACATTCAGTGCCCTGTACCTGCTCACTAAATGCCCACATTAAGATAGGTTCCACTGGTCTCTACCCAGATAAAGACAATGGCGCTCAGAGGTGAACGTGCCTCACTCAGATCAAAGGCAGAGCTGAGACTTAACCCACCCCAGCTGGTTTCAAAGCCCATGCTCTTTCAGCTACACTAGGCAGCATCCCTGTCGCCCCCGGAAAATAGAACCTGCTCACACCCTCTCCCTCCCTGTGGGCCATTCAGTCATTAATCAGCCACCTGCTGTGTGCACTGTGACAAAGGTCTAAGCAGGAGAGCAATATATTCCCAGTTAAGGCACCAGGTGCACACTTGACTGCAGAATAAACCAAGAGCACCAAGGACCAAGCTCATAGTAAGGAGGGAGAAAGCACATCAGCTGGGGGAAAGTGCGGAGGACTTCATGGAGGAGGCAGACCTGGGCTCAGCCTCAAGGAGAGTTGGCAGGCTTTGTGAGGGAGGCATCCTCAGCAACATTCCCTGAGTGCCAACTCCATGCTAGGCAGTGTGCTGGACACCAGGCACACCTAGGCACTCATCCCCAAAGTGCCCTCCAGGGACAGACATCCTGCGTGGCAGACACTGAAATGCACCACCTAGTTTGCTCTGAAGGGAAGATGTGTTGCCCCAGCTGTTGAGGGAACTGCTAGCAGATGGCATTCAACTCCCTGCTACAGAGATGTCCTGGGTTGCAGACAGCAGCCTCACCCAAGGTCACCCCTTTCGACTTGCCCACGTCCATTGATTGCAAGGGTCTAAAGGCCATCTCAGGGGCCTCCCTGGTGGTGCAAGGGGTTAAGACACAACCTATGAAGCTGTCTGCAGCCACTGCAGCACGAGTTCGATCCAGGGAGCTACCCACATGGCGCAGCAGACCTCTCCTGACTCACCCGCTGCTCCCCTCAGCAGTGTATTTCAGTCAGTCTGCCTGTTCTGTTCCCCACTCTGTCTCTGGTGAATCCTCTCACCTCCACACCTGTGGTCTACACCCCAGCTCTTGTATGCACAAATAAATAAATCTTTTTAAAAAAAAATAAAAAATAAAGGCCATCTCAGCCCAACTTAGGCAAGCACTGAAGGAAGGACCATTTGAGGCCAAGCTCGTGAGATCTGCCAAGGCATTGTTAGGCTGCCTCCTAGCTCACTTGCTTGGGCCACTGTGTTGCCTCCCCCACCCACCAAGGCATGTGGGTCTCAGGCCACTCCAGAACATCAGCCTGCTCAATAAACACCACCCCCAGGGTGCCAGAGCCCTCAATAACGCAGCCCTGTGGAGAGGCGCCTGGTAGCTGCAGCTGGGGAAACTGAGGACCCGACACGGCAGTGGTGGAGCTACAATTGCCATCAGGCCTCCTGACTTCCACCTGCCCACCCTTGGCAACAAGCACGGTGCTCACTTACTGTTCCGTCCCCGTCCTTTCATTCAGAAACCACTGGCTGGGCGCTCAGTGTGTGCCAGGCCCTGGAGCAGAGCCAGCACGGTCAGAGCAGGCCGAGCACCCACAGATGCCCACGTGCTGACCCCTCTCCCTTCCCACAGGCCCCATCCTGGAAAACTTCAGCAGCAGCGCGGGCAGCGGGCCTGCGGGCCTGCTGCCCAACCCGCGGCTGTCGGAGCTGTCCACCAGCGAAGTCACCCTGCTGAGCCACCTGCAAGAGCGCCGGGACAGCTCCACCAGCACGGTCAGCTCGGCCTACACCGTGAGCCGCCGCTCCTCCGGCATCTCTCCGTATTTCTCCAGTCGCCGCTCCAGCGAGGCATCGCCCCTGGGCGCCGGCCGCCCGCACCACGCCAGCTCCGCGGACTCCTACGATCCCATCTCCACGGACGCGTCGCGGCGCTCCAGCGAGGCCAGCCAGTGCAGCGGAGGCGGCGCGGGGCTGCTGCACCTCACCCCCGCCCAGCAGTACAGCCTGCGAGCCAAGTACGCCGCGGCCACGGGCGGCCCGCCCCCCACTCCGCTGCCCGGCCTGGAGCGCATGAGCCTGCGGACCCGGCTGGCGCTGCTGGACACGCCCGAGCGCGCGCTGCCCCCGGCCTGTCCACGCCCGCTGGGGCCGCGGCGGGGCAGCGACGGGCCGACCTACGGGGCGGTGGGCCCCGCACCTGCCTTCCCCCACGAGGCGCCGGGCGGGGGGGCGCGGCGGGCCAGCGACCCAGTGAGGCGGCCTGACACCCTGGCGCCCCCGCGGGTGCAGCGCTTCCACAGCGCCCACAACGTGAACCCCGCCCCGCTTCTGTCCTGCGCGGAACGCCGAGGCTTCCACCTGCAAAGCCATCGGAGCTCAGACGGCAGCCTGGCCCGCAGCGCCTACTCGCCGCGGCCGCCCAGCATCAGCGAGAATGTGGTGATGGAGGCCATGGCCACAGGGGCAGACAGCACGGGGCCGGAGGTTGGCCTTGGGCTGCCAGACGACGACCTCGTGCTGCCGGATGACGTGGTGCAGTACATCAAGGCGCATGCCAGCGGCGCTCTGGATGACAGCACCCCACAGGTATATCCCCCGGAAAGCACCTGCTTCTCTGATAACCCCAAACTGCCCAACTCTGGGCTACAGAGCCAGCGCAGGATGGTGGCTGCGGACTCCAATGTGGGTCCCTCTGCCCCAGTGCTGGGAGGCTGCCAGATGGGCTACGCAGCTCCCTCCAACCTGAACAAAAACAGCATGCCCGTGCAGTGGAATGAGGTGAGCTCCGGCACCATGGACACCCTGGCCAGTCAGGTGAAGCCTCCGCCCTTTCCACAGGGCAACCTGGCTGTGGTGCAGCAGAAGCCAGCCTTCAGCCAGTACTCAGGCTATAGTGCCCAAGGCCTGCAGCCAAGCCCCGGAGGCCTGGACAGTACTCAGCCACACCTTCAGCCCTGCAGTGGAGGGCCCTCTGTGTCCAGGGTAAATTATATGCAGCAGCTTCGGCAGCAAGGGGCAGGTGGCCAGTGTCCCAGCATGACCACCACTGGGAGCCCCCACACCAGCTATGGCCAGGCCCATCCCCAGCTGAGCCCCAGTACCATGGGTGGAGCCTTGAACCAGTTCTCCCCATCCTGCAGCAATGTGGCAGCCAAGCCAGGCCACCTGGGGCTCCCTCAGCAAATGGAAGTTGCTCCTGACCCCACCATGATACGCAGTGGCCACAGGGAACTTGGCGTCCCCAATTCCACCCTGGCTGGGATGCCCCCACCTCAACCAGCCCCTAGCTACCCACAACAGAGCCATCACCTGGTCACCCCCATGAGCCAGGAGGGCTACCGCCAGGGCCCCAGCCTTCTGCCTTCCCACCAGCCTGGCTTCATGGAGCCCCAGCAGGGCACAATGGGACACGCCGGATCAAACTTTGGCTTAGTGCAACCCCGGCCACCCCCTGAGCCCAACCCTGCTAGCCGCCACCGTGGGGTGCGTGCCGGGCAGCAGCTGGCCTATACCAGGGCCACTGGCCATGCCATGGCTGCTGTGTCAGCCAACCAGGAGATGGTTACAGAATCTGTGCCCAAGGGAGCTCTGGGCACCATGGTGTCCCTGCCTCCTCAGCCGCCCCCACATGACGCGAACGGGAACCAGGATCACAGCATGCTCTACTACTACGGCCAGATCCACATGTATGAGCAGAATGGAGGCCTGGAGAACCACGTCGGCTGCCAGGTCATGCAGCCCCAGCCACCACAGCCACAGGCCTGCCCAGACAGCCTCCAGCCCCAACCCCTGCCCTCACCAGGGGTGAACCAGGTGTCTAGCACAGTAGACTCCCAGCTACTGGAGACTCCCCAGATTGATTTTGATGCCATCATGGATGATGGGGATCACTCCAGCCTACTCTCAGGCGCCCTGAGCCCCAGCCTCCTCCACAGCCTCTCCCAGAACTCCTCCCGCCTCACCACCCCCCGGAACTCTCTGACTCTGCCCACTATCCCCACGGGCATCAGCAACATGGCCGTTGGGGACATGAGCTCCATGCTCACCAGCCTGGCCGAGGAGAGCAAGTTCTTGAACATGATGAGCTAAGGCCCCGGCCCCTGACACTCATCGGACCACAGGAACCAGCACCTCGTCGAGCATGGGGCTTTCGTCTGTTTCCTCTTTTTCCAAAAAAAGTATTAAATAGGTCTGAGGGAATTTTGCCAATGTCTGGTTCAGACCACAGATGCTTTAAGGATAGGTTGATGTGCCTCCTGTCTGTTCTTCTTTTGGATTATTTTTTGGAACACCGCGAAAAGTCTCAACTGTAAAGGCGAGGCAGAAATGAAAAACTCGTTTACACAGTATTTCCCAACCTTTGGTGTTTATAGGACCACTCTGTTCTGGCTTCTTTGCCTCTGTCATTTGGCTAATGAGGGATTACACTGGCCAAGAGCTTTCCAAGTACACAAGGAAATAGGGTAGAGGAACCACACTTGGGTTAGAATCTGAAAGCCATACTGGATATTCTAATCTAGGAAAAGAAGTGTCTCGTTCCGTTACCTGCAAGGTAAAGGAATTTCTGTCCCACCAGAATTCTATGAAGCTCAGTTCTTGAGGTCTTAACATTCCTTGCCATGGAAGGAAAAAAAAAAATTAGATCTTTACCTGGATGGTTTGGAAGCACATCCTGATTCCAGGTTTGGTAGAGCTGGCATCTCTACCCTGCAAAGACAAGTTTGCAACTGGCAGACTGTTCAAGTGTATATGAATGAAGAAGGTATGAAAGAATCGCCAGAAAGAGGAAAGACAAAATTGTAAAGCTTGGGACAAGCCCAGAAGCTGCCCTGGCCTCTCCAGACCGTGTTTACAGTGTTTATGCATGTAGAATGTAGCCCTTCCTGAAAGAACACTTATTTCTAAATACCTCGGGGCTGCCAGAGCTGCTTTGGGTTAGGGATGAACCAAGGTGAGCCGAACATAGGATACGGGCTTGAGAAAGTAAGAGTATACCCAGGGCCCGGGCTCAGGCTGTCCTGGAGGGCTCCCTGTAGGAAGAGAAGTCGCATGTTTACCCAATCCTGTTTCTCCAATGCACTATCAGCCCACTTTACCATGGAAACCCCAGGACTGGATGGCAGGCCCTGCCCAGATTTCTCTAGGCCATGCTGCCCCCTCACTGCAGTCCAGCGGTTTTGCCAAGCTACAACACGCAGTCGGATGTCTTCTGGATCCCCTTCCCTCTGTCCTCCTTGTTCATTTCACAGAGAACAATATACCCATGGTGTTTGGATGGGGGTGGGAAGGTGAAGGAGTTGATAGTTGGGACTCTGAGGGAGCATCACTGAATTTTCCTGTTCCATGTGACCAAGGCCCATCCAGAGATGGAATTTCAAGCTGACATCAAAAGACGTCATTCCTGAACATACTGTCGGGTGAACTGGTGCAGCCTCCCCACCACACGTACATACACGCACACATACCCCACATTGAATCTGAGGCATCCCTGCCCAAGCCAACTGCACCACTGTGAGCTGGATTCTGTGACCCTGGCTTCAACTAGGACAGGGCCCTGTGCATCTAGAACATTGATCACTTTGTTAGGGTCCTAAGATAAGGCCAACTCCAGGTAACCACCCCCAGATGCCTGGGTCCGGGCTCCGTGGTGGTGCGTATTCACCCCCGAGCTAGGATTTCCTAGCCATTCCCACACCTGTATATAATCTTTGCAGAAGACATCATCCCCGAAAATACTGTAGGTGAATCATCCAGTCAAATTTATATCTTCAAAACATTTTTAGCTTTTTCTACATGCTATGAGTTGAGATGACATGCTCAACTTGTAAATAAGTCTTTTTGTACATTAAAAAAGTAATTTTTTCATAATTTATTTTGTCTATCTGCTTCTTCTTTGACAGTAGTTAATGAGAACCCAGGCTGTAAATTTGGTGCATTTGAAAGGAAATTAGGCAGTATTTTTTCCCCACAGTGTCAAAATTGACTATCCCGCCTTTGCTAAGAAATGTTTAATGCTGAGGCATTTACTGGCTGTTTGTTTGTTGTCACTGGGATGGGGGCAGGGTTTGACATTTTACAGCGAAAAGCTGGCTGTTTATACAGTGCGCTGCTCTGGACGTCTTACCTGACTTGCTGAGAACTGCATATGAGGCCCAGGTGTACCCCCAAGCACTCCATAGTGCAGGCTCCCTTCTCTGATGCTCAGGTCTGATGAGCACATTTGAATTGGGGTGGGGAGGACAGGCAGAACCTTGTGCTCTGGTGCAAGCCAAAGGGGAAGCTGGGCAGGCAGGAGTCCCAGGGTACCCAGCAGTGACCTTGAGTGAAGTTGCCCGTGGGAGCAGCCATGCACAGGGGTCTGGCCAGAGCAGGCGGCCCTGACAGGTTCACAGGAGGGCCCAACTCAGTCATTGGCAACCATTAAGCCACCACAGTGAGCTGGGGGGGAGGTTTTTCAATGATCAAGCATGAGACCTAAATGAATTCTGGAATGAGGACTGGAGCAAGGATAGGAGGGCTCAGGACAGGTGGAGGAACATGAGGGCACCTTCTGTCAGGCCGGGTATGCTGAACCTCTTAAATCCCTGTGCAGGCCCTCCCTCCTCTCCGTGAGCAAAGCCATGACACCCAGCTCAGAAGGTTTGGGAACCAAAGCCACAGGGAGGTCAGTCAGCTCAAAACCAGTTTTGTGGGTTGTGACCAAGTGGATTGAAGAAGGATTCTTTGATAAGCGAGTGTAGGACCGACCCCCACCCCCCGCCTCCACCCACACCCCCCCCCGCCACACACACGCACCCACTGAAGGAAATGAAATGTAGTGTTTCCCTTCTGCAGGGTGTCCCTGAATCTTCCATAACCTCTTTGACCCCAGTTTCCTGGTGGAAACTCAGCCAAAGTCACTGCCAGCCTCACTCCTCCCTTGGGGACTCTCACTCAGTTTATTGCACACTTGGAGGGAGGAACTGATCGTTTCTGCTTTTTTCAAAGCTCATTTCAGGCTCGCAGAGCCTCTGCTCCACATGGTCCTTCTCTGGAGGCAGCTTGCCTGCTGCGGGGCAAGGGGAAGCAAAGTGTTCCACGCTGCCTGAGACCAGGCACGATTAAGAAGCCCATCCACGTCAGCCCACTGTGGCCACAGTTCTGCTGAAGAACAATCCCCTGGAACCTCTGCCCCATGTAACAAGTGATTTAGCTCATGAATCTGGGTCAACTGGGTTCAACTGATTTAGGCAAGATTGGGCAGGGCGGGTTATATGGGGCAAATAGTCTAGATGCTTGACGGGAGGCCTGGATCTGCTCACACGCCTCATCTTCCCCCCGGAATGGAGATGCTACCTTGGGCTTTGCCTTCTTGCAGCAAGGACTGAAGCATAAGAGGGCAAGCAGGAAAATGCAGGTCTTCTTTAGGCCTCTGTTCAGAACCAGTACACCACCAGTTTCACCTCATTCTTTTAGCCCAGTCAAGTCCCGTGGCCAAATCCATCATCTGTGGCATCGGGAAGTACAGTCCTCGAAGGAAGTGAGAGGGAGAGGGACTATTTTTCAACAATAGTACAAAAAGACAGTGATTCATGTCCCCCCAGATGTAGAATATACTCACCCAACACTCCAGAAGTCTACCCAATCAATCATCAGGCTCAAAGTCTAAGAGATTATGCTCTATATCCATTCTGGATGTGGCTCTTCTTGACCCAGAGTCTTAGGAACTAGAGAGAGTTCTCTCCCTGCTGCACCTCCACATCCCAGGCTCAGACGCACCCAGCACACTGAAGGAACGGGGCTGGTATCAGCAGCTGCCACTCCCTCCGTCACTGGCGCACAGCTGGGCAAATGTTGCGGGTGGCTCTGCTCCGGGTGGGAGGTCCCTTGAGGGGCTAGCCAGCCCACTGAGCTCTGCCGCTCCAGCTTCCACCATTGAGGCCTTCTTCCTTTCAGTCTGTAAAGAGAACGATCAAGTAGCGCTTAACCTCTTCTTGTCTAAAAGGAGTTGGGAATCTGAAGTCCTTTACATTTCAAACAGCCCCTCCCTGTGTTTCCCCCGCTCACAGTGTGCCTGCCCATTCGGTTCTCCCAACATCGCAGGTTTTCTGCATATTTGATTCCACGCCACCCATGATTCCTTGGCGACATGCCTCTATGTTTCAGCGCTGGTACCCTCCATCAGGCTATGTGGGCCATATCCTGAAGGTTTCTGGGTGCCCTGTTGTCACTGGAAGCTATTTTAGAACCATCTTACTCCTTTCAAGGACCATCAGACAAAGGGTATGAAAATCAAGGACACATCCTAGGTGTTGTCTTCACTAAGAGACTGGAGATGAGAAATAGTTTTATCTTCTAAATTCTGCTCTAAACTGAAGGCTGGTTCATTTCTGAACTCCTCTCTTATAGTATTTCATCATTTATAGCTCCAAGAATCTCGTGTTTACAATCGTCTGCCCAGAAACCAGCCTGCCAATTACACAAAATCATAGGTACATTAGCTCCCTCCCAGGTTACTCGAGGCATTAATTTTACCAAATATTCCTTCATCAGGTGGTATAGGTCACCATTTCTCTTGCCATTTTCCAACCTCCTCTAAATTCCTTCACTGCCTAGTTCCAAAGCTATGCTGCATATTTTAGGACATTATTAGAGTAGTCTAATAATTAGTCTAATAATGTAGTAATGTACCCTAATAATGACATTATTACAGTAGTCTAATAATGTAGTAGTCTAATAATAACCTACCATTCTGGGTGCCAATTTCTGAAGAAGTTAACTGTTCCCCAATAATGCTATCTAACAGTACCCACAAATGCCCAGGAGCAGGCAGGAAGCATTTATTTAATTCAAAAGTTTGGAGTCAGCCAAGGGGGACTTTCTTGGGTTCTGGCCCTGTGCCTCCCCACTTGGGCCCAGAGCACTGCCCAGGCATCTCATGGTGATGGCATAGTGCAAAAAGGCAAGCAGAAGCACAGGAGGCCTCTACCGGCCTAGGCCTGGAACAGGAAACAGGGCATACTGAACCCCAAATCCATAGATGCCTCCTACAAAACTAGAGTGGGCAGTTATCTAAACAGTAACCCAACCTGCCACATCCTCTAAGCCAGTTTTGGTATAGCAGGGCTGACACTGTAGCTCCATCTGGCTCCTGCATCTGTACCTTAGTTGGCCCTAAACCCCAAAAGGTCATTAATTACACCCAGTAGCCTGTTATGGTGACAAAGCCAGCTCTAGGACCTACAATGGGCAATTCTTCCCAACTATGTGTTTGGAAATTTTACATTGATAAGTTAATTGGATTGTGGTGAGAATTTATGTCTTGGAAATTTGCAAACTGTCCAAATTGGAACTTCCCCCACCCTGACCTCCAGAGCCATCTGTTAAACATTTACCAATGGACCTAACACCACACAATAGAACTGTGAGTGTGGTTACCCTCATGTGCCCGAGGTCTTTAACAAGTTTATATGTTCACAGGACTCATTATATGGAGAATCTGTGAGTCCAGACTGTCATGGTTATGTGACATGTCATGTCGTTTAGCTTAGTGGCCCTCAAACTTTAGAAGTCATGCAACCTTGTGTTTGAATGAAATGGGCTCTAGAATGAAAGGACACAGTTAAAAGTGCAGTTGATTAAAGCTGGTTAAAGCTGGGAGCAGAAGACCCAAAACCCACACATATTCCACAGCCCTCTTTGCCTACACCCAATCATAAGCAGCACAGACAAGGGTTTGAAAACACAGAGTAGAGTTTGAAAACCAAGTATATAATTAATCACCAAATGAAATGAGACACAGAAAAGGCGGTGAGCAACTTATGAAAAAATTAGACTCCCTATTTCTAGAATCCCGGAAGTAAGCTGGCTCACCCAACACTCTGATAAGCCCAGGGCCCACAACAACTATTCAATTCCTTGCTTTCTCTCTGCCTTGTAGTCCGGGAGTTCTTGGAGGGCAGGTGAACTCACCTGATCTACCTGGTATCTCCTGTCCAGTGCCTAGAAACTCATCAGTAGTTTTCACTAATTCTGCTGAATTTGTTTCTAAACTGGATAGTCTAGAAAGCTTCATGGAGGAGGGGGAAATGAACAAAGCTTTGAGAACTGGGTAGAATTTGGATCATGTGATGGTCCTTTCAGAATGTATTTGAACAATAGACCACATCCAAGAATGTCTGCAAAGAATTCTGAGCACAAAGAAGAAGCTGTAGAAACTTTGACGGTATTGGAACTTGTATTTTTTTTACTGGATAGAGAACAGGGAGAAAGAGGGCAAAGGCCATAATCTGGCAGGATGTGGGCCGAGCAGAGACCAAAGGCCTAGGGGCAGAGTTTCATGGTGGGCCTGGTCACTGTGAGCTGAGGGTCTTTGATGAGCAATCCCAACTCCAAAATGTGCGCCACACCTGCTTTGGTTCCAGAAAATTTGCAGTGGAAGCATGTTTCCTTCAGGTGCAATCATTCAAGTTCCCTGAAAAAGATGCCAAAGTTACCCAAGACCTTTAGGCTTGATGGGAAAATGAGCGAATGCACCCCCAGTAACGGTGTAAACACTTGCCACTTCTTGAGCCACTTGTGAATTTTCCTGCAAGAGTGAGCATGGAAGTCCACCTGCGTGGTTCTACACTGGCTTCCGCTATTAAAGTGATCGTCGATCATTAATTATTTAATTCCAGAAACACTCTGAACTCAAAAGTCGTCTGAACCCCTGAAAGGTAATCAGTCTTCAGCTTCGTCTTATCTACTCTTCCTCTCCTTTCTCCTACTCTTCTTCTCCCTCCTCTCCCTCCTCTTCCTCCTCCTCTTCCTCCTCCTCTTCTTCCTCTTCCTCTTCTTTCTCTTCTTCCTCCTCTTCTTCCTCTTCTTTTTCCTCTTCCTATTCCTCTTCCTCTTCTTCCTCCTCTTCCTCCTCCTCTTCTTCCCCCTCCTCTTCCTCTTCCTCCTCTTCTTTTTCTTCCTCTTCCTCCTCCTCTTCCTCCTCTT